AAACCCTAGATTTGAAGAAAGACTTTATGGTTGCATTTGAGGTTAAAAGGAATCATTGACCTAAAAAACTGCTTTTCTTTGCTGAATTCAGATTCTTCAAGAGAAACTTAATGAAATGAGCTGTGAACTGAAGTTTGCTCAGGAGTCATCTCAGAAGCAAGATGGTACAATTCAGAGCCTCAAGGAAACCCTGAAAAGCAGGGAAAGTGAGGTAAAATATTTGGCCATCAAGGACTTGTGAGGAAATAATTGGTCCCATCAAAGTAGACGAGTATTTTATGTTTTATAAAAATGGATATTATCAGACTAACAAATCTTAGCCTGGAGCAATTGTAGCTTAATCTAAATTGGTATTTCGGAATAGTCCTGTTAGTAAAATCTGTACAAGTGAGATAATGGAATTTGTATTTAGTTTGCTAACATGTTTGGTATTCCCTCTCTCATTTTCAGACTGAGGAGTTGTACCAGGTGATTGAAGGTCAAAATGACACAATGGCAAAGCTTCGAGAAATGCTGCACCAAAGCCAGCTTGGACAACTTCATGTGCGTGGGGGTCACATAGGATAGGAGGAGAGTCCAGTTGGAGATATGCCATTCTTGGTTGTAGTCTTGATTTTGTCTTCACAGGTGCTCAGTGCTTGCTCTCCCGGTTATGATGATTTCTACTCTCTTTTCAGAGCTCAGAGGGTGCTTCTCCAGCTCAGCAACAGGTGGCTGTGCTTGATCTTCAGAGTGCTTTATTCTGTAGCCAGCTTGAGATACAGAAGCTCCAGAGGGTGGTACGGCAGAAAGAACGCCAACTGGCTGATGCCAAACGGTGTGTGCAATTTGTAGAGGCTGCAGCACGTGAGACAGAACAGCAGAAAGAGGCTTCTTGGAAACATAACCAGGTAAATCATTAACCATTTTGTAGCCCTAAATGCTGACTTTGCCCTGGTAATAACTTTCCAGCACTACAGTTTGTGTTGAACCCTTGAGTCATTTGCTTAATCATAGTAATTCAGTTCAACACTTGTTGCCCTTGTACCATGTGCCAGCTACAGTAGGCCCCCCCTTATCCACAGTTTCACTTTCTGTGGTTTCAGTTACGTGTGGTCAACCATGGTCTGAAAATATTAAGGTATTTTTGAGAGAGAGAGACCACATTTGTATAACTTTTATTATAGTATATTGTTGCAATTCTTCTATTTTATTATTATCATTCTTAATCTTTTAGTGTGCCTAATTTATAAATTAACTTTATCATAGCTATGTGTGTATAGGAAAAAACATGGTATTATACAGGGTTCAATACTATCCAAGGTTTCAAACATCCACTGGGGTTTTTAAAACATATCCCGTGCAGATGAGGGGGGACTACTATATTGGATTGTGTTCTGGAAATACAAGGGTGATTTACATAGGTTCCTCACTCTTAAGTTACTTATAACTTAGTATGAAAGAGTCACATAAGCCAAATTTCAGTGTGGTAAATACTGAGGAGGATGTATGCTTGGGGTCCTACAGGAATACCTAGGAGGGGCTGAGAAAGGGAGTTAGAGAAAGCTTCATGAAGGAGGAGATATCTGAGGTTATTCTTGAATGGGTAAATGTCAGCCAGACAGAAAAGTAGGGAAGAATAACCAGGGTCAAAGCAATGGCATACACAATTAGCCATGTATTCTTTTTTAAATAAAATACGTAATTCTTAAATGTTTCATTTATCTCGTTAGCTTAGAGCATATGCTGCTTTTTTTTTTTTTTTTTTTAAAGACTTAAAAGACCTTTTTGTGGTCTCTTTTCTTAGGCTGTTTAACACTCAGATTTAAAAGTGTAGTTTTTGAAGGATCTCCCTGGTTTGGTATTTGGAGATTAAATATTACCCTGGAATTTCCTTTAGAAATATTAAAATTTCAGATGTCTTAGCAGGGGTGGGGGTGGGAATAATACTTAATTTTTTTTTATTTACATAAAGGAAACATTTTCCTAAGTTTTGTGTAGTTGATGAGAATATATATTTTTAAGGCCGTCTAAAGTAACATGGTTTCCTTATTAGAAAAATATTACATATGGCAAATTAAGAAAGATGAGTGACAGTTACCATGAGGTCTTTAGAAAAGAGAATGATAGAAATATTCTATCCTTGAGCTTATTTTAAAGTAAAAGATTCAGGTTTGTTGTGGGAAGAGTCCCATTCAGTGGTTATGTAGATCTTTTGTAAACCAAACAATAAGTATTGA